CCCCCCCCCCTGTGCACTCCTTTACCGCGTGCACATAGAGAGGTAGGATCGGTGTTGCCTCGGTAGTGGCATAACACCACACGATAGGGGACGTAGTAAACGCATCAGCGCTCCCTTCCCTCCTCCTCCTCCTCTTTTTTTCTTCCTCACACTACAAGACTGTGTGTGTGTGTGAAAGAGAGAGAGAGAAGAAAGAGAACAGAGAGAGAGTTGGGGGCGGTGTCACATTGGGACGTGTGGCAGGAGAGCGTGAGGTACAAAGCGTCTGGAATGAGTCGTCTGTCCGCTTCTGTGACGCTGCTGCTTCTAGCGCTGCTGCTTTTGTCGTCGCCGTTATCCGCAGCTGTGGTGAACGCGGATGCCGCGGATGAGAAGTCGCGCTACGACCACCTCCAGATGCTCACGGTGGCGGACCTGAAGCAGATGCTGCACGAAAAGCGGCAGCCATTCCTCCACCTGCGCACAAAGAATGAGCTCATCAACGCCCTGGTGGAGGTTGAGAAGAAGGAGGAGCTCATCAACTCCATCCAGCAGGGGGACTCGATGAAGCAGCGGAAGCCCCATGTACTCCGCGTGGAGTACTGCTCCGGCTGAGGCTACCGGCGGCACTACGAGGAGGTTGTGGATCAACTCCTTCGCAGTCTGCCGCCACAACAACAGCAGCAGCCCCTTATCCAGTTTGTGCCGATGGTGTACTTCGTCGGCCCACTGCGCGAGGGACTTGCCTCGCTGCTCTCCACGTGCTTCACCGCCGCACTGGTTTTGGGCATTGGGGCGCCGTACATGCCCGGCCTGCTTCCCGCCACCGTCATTGCGTGGGCGGAGCGGCGACGCACGATGATCATTGCACTTGGCTTCCTCATGAACCTCGTCGCGACGAACCTCCGCCAGTCAGGCGCCTTCGAGGTGTACCTTGACGACACACGCATTCACTCCAAGCTTGAGACGGGCACGGTGCCAACAGCAGCAGCGCTCGCGCGACAGATTCTGGAGCGTATCGCCGCAGCGCAGCAGTAACGCGCAGGAGTCCAGGAGCGGCGCCGACGCCTATCTGTGTGTGTGTGTGTGTGTAGATGGTGGTGGTGGTGGGGCGCACTGGAGGTTTGAGGTGGGCAGCGGGACGGAAACAGGGGAACGTAGCGACTCCTGTGGTCTCCTCTCCTTCTTTATGCTGCTCGTCTCGTGAAAAATGTTGCCTCATGGTAACCACACAAAGAGAAACCCACAGGAGCAAATCGCTCTTGCTCATTGTGGTTGTCTGAGGGGCGTTTGTGAAGAAGTTACTGTGGCCCATTTTGATCTCCCTCCATCTCTCCTTTGCAATCCCTCGCAGGTCCACGTAGGCTTTGTGTGCCTCTCTGTCAAAAAAATCCTCCCGGCACTTGATCCACATAAGTGTCTGTGCGTGCGTGTTGCTCCTTGTGTTTTCTTATTCCATGACGAGGTGGCGGGTCAAACCCGGCTGTGGTGCCGCCCTTCTGAATTTATTCTCATGCCTCATCACCACTATTGCCCACTATTGTGTTCGCACTCTTGCCGGCAGCGGTACTCTGATGCTGCTTCTGGTGGTGGTGGTGGTGGTGGTGGTGGTGGTGGTGGTGTCGAGGAGCACACGTCTGGCACGCCAAAAGGGGAGGGTAGCGGTGAAAACAGAGCGCCTGAATACGTGAAGAGTGAAGTAGAATGGAGGGATGGGAGAGAGAGAGAGAAATGGGGAATGGGAAGAGCGACTGGAGGAAAGCGAGTGGGAAAGTGTTGTAGAGCCGTGGTAGGACAGAAAGTAGGGGTGGCAGGAGCGACAAGCAGGTAGTGGAGGGCACGTCTGTAGAAGATGTCGCACTCCCTGCAACTGTTTGCAGTCCGCCTTCTACTGACTGAATATAACTTTCTCTTTTTTTTCTTTTTTTGTGTGTCTTTCCTTCGTCGCGTGATTATATTACGTGTGGTGGTTCATTTTAACCTTTTTTTTTGCTGCTTGCATTCCCACTACCTAGGAGGGGGGTGTGGGTGCCCATGTCTCTCTCTCTCTCCCTGTATGTATGTATGTATGTATGGGTGTGTCTTACATAATGAGGGCGTTCCCTTCTGTTCCTTGTCTTCTCCCTACTCAACTGGCACCGCTATTTCGTGTGCAGCGGCGTAAGAAGTAGTAAAAGTTCTTGCAAAGTTACACTCATTGAAAAGAAACCAAAACACTTACACAGGCAAGCGCGTAGGTAAAGGGGGGAGTTTAAATAGAAACGGTAAGGAAGTGTGTCCGTAACATATAAACCCGTGACCTATAACGCGTAGTTTGTCACGCTTTCAGTAGCTCGTAAGAGATGGGAGACCCAACGCGATTGCTATTCGGTTCGGTACCGCTTCAGTACCGCCAGGCAACATATTTCCTCGCTGTATGCAGTGTTGTTTGCCTCCTGATCGCCCTCTACCGTGCCTACAGCATCCGCCTACTCTCTGTTCATCTTTATGGCAGGGTTATCCACGAGTTTGACCCCTGGTTCAATTACCGTGCCACGGAGTACCTCAGCGAGCACGGCTGGCGGGCCTTCTTTCAGTGGTACGACTACATGAGCTGGTACCCGCTTGGGCGGCCAGTCGGCACTACAATATACCCCGGCCTGCAGATCACCAGTGTTGCCCTCCACCGGGCACTGGCCATGGTGGGAGTGGACATGTCGCTGAACGACGTCTGTGTCTTTGTGCCGGCGTGGTTTGGCGCGGTGGCGACATTGCTGACGGCAATGCTGGCATACGAGTCCTCCAGGTCTCTCACAGCGGCTGCCGTGACGGCGTACTTCTTTTCCATCATTCCCGCCCACCTGATGCGTTCCATGGCCGGGGAGTACGACAATGAGTGTATCGCGATGACGGCGATGGTGCTGACCTTCTACATGTGGGTGCGCTCACTGCGCGGGCCGGGGTCGTGGCCCATCGGCCTGCTCACAGGTCTTGCGTACGGCTACATGGTGTCGACATGGGGCGGATATATTTTCGTCCTAAACATGGTCGCCTTCCATGCTGCGGTGTGTGTGTTCGTGGACTGGGCGCGTGGGATCTATGACACCAACCTCCTCAAGGCGTACTCGCTCTTCTTCATCGTGGGCACGGCAATTGCTACGTGTGTACCACCGGTGGGGTGGACGCCGTTCAAGTCGCTGGAGCAGCTGATGGCGCTGGTGGTGTTTTTCTTCATGTGGGCGCTGCACTTCTCCGAGACTCTGCGGCGGCGCGCGGATGTGGAAATCCGCTCCTCCAAGGCGCTGCAGATTCGGGCGCGAGTGTTCATGGGGACACTCAGCGTCCTCGTGGTTGTGGCGGCGCTGCTGGCGCCGACGGGCTACTTTGGTCCCCTCTCCTCTCGTGTCCGTGCGCTGTTCGTGCAGCACACCCGCACCGGCAACCCCCTCGTCGACTCTGTCGCGGAGCATCAGCCAACCTCGGCCAATTCCTTCTGGACCTACCTTCATGTCTGCCTGCCGGGTTGGATGCTTGGCTTTATTGTTATTGCACTCTCCTGCGCCGTGCAGTGCAGTGCCGCGAAAACATTCCTCTTGGTCTACTCCGTAGTCGCCTACTATTTCTCAACAAAGATGAGTCGGCTGCTGTTGCTCACTGCGCCAGTGGCTGTGTCGGCGACCGGTGTCTTGGTGGGCTTCCTGTTGGACTTTTCGCTTGAGTTGCTTTTTCAGCCCTTGGAAGAGAATGGTGCGGCGAAAAAGACGCCGGCGAAGCAGCGGCAAAAGAACTCAACGCAAGGATCCACATCAAAGGAGCAGGAGCATCCTGTTGTTACGCATTGGAAGAAGGTATCTCGTCGTCACCCGCTTTTGACTGTCGCCGTTGTTGGCGTTGTGCTTGCCTTTGGGGTGCATTCAATCGCCACCTCGGGTTTCAGCGAGAGGTGCAGAGGCTTCGCGGAAGCCGTATCAAGTCCACAAATCATGTTTCGCGCGAGGCTTAACAACGGAAAGATCATTATGGTGGACGACTACTACGTTGGATACCAATGGCTGCGCAACAACACGCCGGCGGATGCCCGCATACTTGCCTGGTGGGACTATGGCTACCAGATCACTGGAATCGGCAACCGCACCACGCTCGCTGACGGCAACACGTGGAACCACGAGCACATCGCCACCATTGGGAAGATGCTTGCCTCACCTGTTGTTGAGGCGCACTCGCTCATTCGGCATCTTGCCGACTACGTTCTTATCTGGAGCGGTCAGCAAGGGGATGACCTGATGAAGTCACCGCACATGGCTCGAATTGGCAACAGTGTGTACCGTGACATCTGCCCCGAGGAGGATCCACTGTGCTCAAACTTTGGGTTCTTTAGCGGCGACACAAGGCAGCCAACACCGATGATGCGCCGCTCGTTGCTCTACAATCTACACGCCTCTGGAGATATCCCTGGGGTGCAAATCAATGAAAAGCTGTTTAAGCTAGCCTATGTGTCACGTTATGGTCTCGTGAAGATTTACAAGGTGATGAATGTGAGTGCGGAGAGCAAGGCGTGGGTGGCGGACCCGAGGAATCGCAAGTGCAACCCACCAGGGTCATGGCTCTGTGCTGGGCAGTACCCGCCAGCGAAGGAAATACAGGCCCTGTTGTCGAAGCGCATAGACTACGGCCAGCTGGAGGACTTCAACCGCGGCAAGCGGGACGATGCGTACTATCGCGCCTACATGCGCCGGATCCGCAACGAGGGGTGAGGAGATATGGATGTGTGCGTGATTTGTGTGGCGATGCGGGTAGAACACTACTGTCTGGGCATTTTTTTTTTTTTTATAATTATGGATAAAAAATAGTTATGTAAAAGGGACGAAGGATTTTTGACTCTTTAGAGATTTTTTTTGAGTGTTGGGCGAAGAATACACATTAACGGATCTGAAGCACACGAAGAAACGAAAAAAAAAACGGAGTGCAAGAGAGACTCAAGATCAATAGAGGAGAATTGCACGCCCGTAGCAGGAGGGAAAGCTCTCCTCCATCAGGATATGCAGGTTCGTGACCTTGTTGAGAAAGGCTTCCTTACTTGCTGGAGTGTTTCCCCCTACAACTCCTACCGTCGTCTAGGGTCATGATCTCTTTTCTCTTTTGTATTTTTTTTTCGTCTTGGGGGGGGGGGGGGGGGNGGGGGGTATCTTCTTCCTTCTCCGTCTAAGTTATTCTCTTGTTGGACGTGTAGTAGTAATTCGGCCGTGTGTCCTCCTGACTCGCTCTGGTGCATGCACACACGCCGCCTTTGTGAAATGTGGCAGCGGTTCTGCGTGCGGCCTGTCATGGTGGATGTACACCAACTAGCATTGTCGTCGCGCCGCACCATTGTGCTGCGCCACACGAATGTCCTGTTATCGAATGGTGGAGCGGGGCGGCATCAGCAGCAGCAGGGTGTCGAGGAAGGTCAGCTCGCGGACGAGGCGAATGCGACGTGGGATGAAGCGCGACTCATGACGACACATCTGCAGGAGTCGGGTGGCCGCACGTCTCCCACGCCGTGCAGCGAGCGACACAACGGCTCAAACGATAGGGATTGGACAGAGCCGGCGTTAGAGGACCTGGACCGCTCCATCCCGCAGGTGGACTGCGCCTTCATTGCCGACCTCATCCGCGCCCGCAACAAGCGACGCAAGGAGTTCCTTGAAAAGAAGGCGCAAGTGAAGGCCAAGGTCGAGGCGCTAAGTAAACAGCAGGCGGTCTCGGTGATGGAGTCGGCGAAGTTCCCTATTATTGGCCCTGCTGGTATGGGGCGGGGCGGGGCGGTAGCCCCGGTGCACAGCGGAGAGGACGGTGATGATATTGCTGTTGCCGTCTCACCTGAAGTTGTCGCGCAGCTTTCGGATGACGAGCGTGACGCACTGCTGGCGTCACGTCCGGAGTACGATGATGGTTTTGTTCTGCTTGACTGCCGCACAGTGAATGAGGTGACATCATGGGGCATGATAGAAGGCGCCAAGGTACTTCCCGCTCATGAAATGTTTGACGGTTTTCACCTCACGCCAGAGGAGTTTGAAGTGGAGTTCGGCTTTGCGAAACCGCGGCCAGAGCAGAAGATCATTTGTTATTGTCAGTACGGGCCCCGTGCGCTCATGGCGGCGCAGATACTGAGTTGGATGGGCTATGTGAATGTCCTGCACTTCCGTGACGGATATTATGAGTGGGGAAAGCAATACAACCTGCTGCTTCGACGGTGGATGCTGCACGACAAGGAGTCCGGCAATGAGGTGAAGCGGCAGGTAGCGTTTCAAGCCGGACTCGAGCTCCAGCGTGAGATTGCGCCTGAGTTCAACGAGCTGCCGATGAAGGAGGCTGCCCGCTACAAGATCGGTACCACACGCAGTCGTGGAAAAATGCTTGTTGGCGAGGGTGTGCGTGAGGCGGCGTACAAGCAGGTGGCGGAGCTCGTTACTGGTATGGAGCCGCCGCTGCTTCCGGGTGTGTTGGACGACGCCGACCGTGCGGGAAGCAGCAGCCGGGCGGTGGGCATGCGTGAGGAGCACCTGCAGCGTTTCCTGCAGGAGACCACAGGCATGGACGCGCGCAACGAGGACACGCGCCCGCCGATGGGGCTGGCGGAGGCGCAGGAGAAAGTAATGGACGCCTTCACGCGGCGTGACGGCGGCAGCCACCCGCGCCAACGGTAAGTCACACTTCTTCACATCACAACAAAAGGTGCACATATATGCAGAGATATGCCCTTACTACGTCATTCGCTCTGTCACTATCGATCTATATATATATATATATATATATATTTGGATCTTGTGTGTTTGTTCCGTGTCGTCGTTGTTGTTGGCGTTGCTCGTGCTGCTGACGCTGCGGAGGGAGGGCGTGTGTGTTTCTTGGTATGTGCCTGCATCCGTGTGTGTGTGTGTGCGTGTGTGGGTGTGTCACGTGATTGCCGGTTGCCTCGCTTCTTTTCTCTTCGCGTGTTGGTTTTCGCGTCTTAACGTACTCGTCACATGGCGCCCGGGAGCAAAGAAAACACCGCCAAAACTATCCCACTCGCAAGCGTACTATAGCAAAGGAGATCGCAAGAGAAGAGAGTAGTCGGTTTCATTTTTTTTTTTGGGTTATTTCAAGGAAGGAGGCAAAAGGAACAAGTGAAATTTGTATAAACGACCGAGAAGACAAAGGGGCAGCAGGGAATCGACGCGCAGCACCCTCATCTTTCCTCCGCATTTCTGTGACTGTGACTCTTCTTCGCGCACCTGCCGCCCGTGGACTCACACTGCTCTACAGAAGCACCGAAGCCAGTGAAGAAGGAAAAACGGAAAAGCCACACCCGCCTTACCAAACTCCAGCCTCTGCAAACACACAGACAGGAAAGCTGCAAGAGACTTTTTGAGGCCAGATTGTGTCTGCATTAGCAACAGCAAAAGAACTCTTCTACCACCAGAAGCACCTACGTACATACAAACAAACAAACAAACAAACGAACAACGAAAAATGACTGACAGTCGATCATCTGCTTCCGTGGTAGCAGTTGATGCGGAGAAGGCCGCCCGCGAGCGTGACGCCGCAGCGCGCGCGCTGCTCCAAGACGGTCCGCTGCAGTCTCGCATGCAGTACATGTCATCTGGCCTTGAGCTCACTGTGCCGTACACGTTGAAGGTCGTCACCGACGCTGAGTCGTTTGACCGCGCAAAGGCGTTGGCGGACGAAGTGTTGCGCTCCGCGTGGCAACTCGCCGACACCCTGCTGAATAACTTCAACCCCAAGAGTGAGGTCTCACTGATCGGCAGGCTGCCGGTGGGGCAGAAGCACGTGATGTCGGGCCCGCTCAAGCGCGTCATGGGGTGCTGCCTGCGCGTCTACCACTCGTCTGGCGGCAGTTTCGACCCGGCCATCGGCCCACTGCTCGATGTGCTGCGGAGCGCCGTGGCGGAGCGTGATTCGACCGTGCCGGAGCAGCTAGACGGCCTCAAGCGCGCGTGCACGTTGCCCAACAGCTTCCACATCGACCTGGAAACGGGCACGATTGCGCGCAAACACGAGCACGCTCGCTTGGACCTTGGCGGCGTCAGCAAGGGCTACATCGTCGACTACGTAGTGGAGAAGCTCAACGCGGCGGGATTTGAGAATGTCTTCTTTGACTGGGGTGGCGACTGCCGCGGGAGTGGCACCAACGCCCGGCAGTCACCGTGGGTGGTTGGCATCATCCGCCCACCATCACTTGAGCAGCTGCTCGACCCGCCGCGGGACCCTCCGTTCATTCGTGTCATTTCACTCGACAACGAGGCGCTTGCCACGAGCGGTGACTACGAGAACTTAACGGAGGGAGCCAACAAGAAACTATACGCCTCCATCTATGACTGGAAGACCAAGTCGCTGCTGACGCCCTCGCAGAATGAACTCGCGCAAGTGTCAGTAAAGTGCTACAGTGCCATGTACGCCGATGCGTTGGCGACGGCAAGTCTCGTGAAACGTGACACAGTGAAGGTGCGGTATATGCTGGACGGCTGGCGTTACGTGCGTGACACCGTCATCGACTACACCGCCTACACACGTGAAGATGAACGCGTCGCGCGCATGTTTGAAATTGCCACAGAGAACTGTGAAATGCGGAAGAAGCGTATCGCCGGATGCCTCCCAGCCCGTGTCATTGTTGTGGGTGGCGGTCTCGCCGGTCAGTCCGCCGCGATTGAGGCAGCGAACTGCGGTGCACAAGTCATCCTGCTCGAAAAGGAGGCG